GTGTTTGTAGGAGGCAACCAATCACTAAAGCTGCCCCTTTCCCACCTGTTTGCACAAATGGTAGATTTTAGGGGGTAGACTGCCTCTGTCTAAGGAGGCTCCCCAAAAGTGTCCAGGCCCACTTCACACCCCATTTTGCCCTGCTTCATTTCCCACATCCCTACGTCCCAACTCACCAAAAGAAAGGCACGGAGTCGGGGGAGGGGAAAAGGAGTGGCATGGGAGCAAAGGAAGAGCGTGGCAAACGCCCCTCCCCTGCTTAGGCGCTTTGCGGGGGGGGATCAGGGCTCTCCCCCACTTTACCTGCCCGCCGCACAACCCTGCGAGGTAGGCCGGTGGAGGAGAGGGCTGCACCCGCCTGTCAGAGGAGCCCCGCCTCGGCCACGGACCAAGGGGGCGGGGGGGGAAACGAAGGGAGGAAGAGCGGACAGACAGACAGAAGCAAGAAGAGTAGAAAAATAAGACAGGCCCAGAAAGAGCCTCCAAAGGGACCTGGGTACCCCCCCCCACCCCGTCTAGGGAGAGACCCCCGGATGGGGGAGAGTGGAGGGAGGGGGAAAGCCGCAGCCCCAGAAGGACTGGATGCGGAAGGGGGGAAGACCGCACACTTCCGGGAGGGTCCAAGGCAACGCCTACACCAGGGGTGTCCAACCTTGGCAACGTTAAGACTTGTGGACTTCAACTTCCAGAATTCCTCAGCCAGCAAAGCTGGCTGAGGAATTCTGGGAGTTGAAGTCCACAAGTCTTAACGTTGCCAAGGTTGGACACCCCTGGCCTACACGCTAAAGTGGAGGAGCTTCTGGAGAAAACTTCCGGAAACAAAAGGGGTAACGAGCGAGCTTCCGGAATCGGCGAGAGAAGAGCCCGGATGCAGGTAGGAGCCCAGGAGGAAGAGGCGGAGCTTGGCCGGAAAAAGGAGACAATCCGGTCTGGCCCTTACTTTCGATATTGGGAGAGGCGGGCTTCCGCACGCGGCCGACTGCAGGTAGGGCGCAGGGGACGCTGGGAGTCGCAGTCCTGGAGGGTCTCTTTCGGGTCCGCAAGATGCGGAGGCTTCGGCTTGGGCCTCCCCTGCGGGGAAGGGGGTGCAGCCGTGACCCACCCGCCTCTCTTTATCCCCCGCAGAAGGAAGGAAGCGCCGCCCGAGAGGAGGAGATGGAGAGCGGGCCCCGCGGAGCAGCCCGGGAGACGGCGGGGAAAGGCCGGGAGGCTTTGGGGCAACAGGAGGGATGAGCCCAGGGAGACCCCGGGAAAGGCGGCTGCCCGGAGGGAGATGCGGGGAGAAGGAAACGGGCGGAGACCCCGAGACGGTCCTGGAGGGCGGAGAATCCTTCGAAAGACCTGGGAATCCCCAAAGGATCCAGAAAGGAGGAAAGAAATATCAGTGCCCGGAATGCGAAACATCCTTCAGAACAAATTCACATCTTAAAAGCCATCTAAGGACGCACTCGGGAGAGAAGCCTTATACATGCCAGGAGTGTGGAAAGAGCTTCAGTCGGAGGAGCAGCCTTTATAGACATCAAAGGATCTATTGCGGAGAGAAACCGAATAAATGCCTGGAGGGCGGAGGGTCCTTCGGAATACCCGGGATTCAATGCCCAGAATGTGAAAAATCCTTCAAACCAAAGGAGCATCTTCAAAGGCATCTAAGAATCCACACAGGAGAAAAACCTCATAAATGCCTGGAGTGTGGAAAGAGCTTCAGTCAGAGGAAAAGCCTTTATACACATCAAAGGATCCATTGGGGAGAGAAATCATATGAATGCCTGGAGGGCGGAGGGTCCTTCGGAACACCGGGGAATCCCCAGAGAATCCAAGAGGGAGGAAAGAGATATCAGTGCCCAGAATGTGAAAAATCCTTCCCAAAAAATGGAGATCTTCAAAGGCATATAACAATCCACACAGGAGAAAGGAAATATCAATGCCTGGAATGTGAAAAATCCTTCAAAAGAAATTATCACCTTCAAAGGCATCTAAGGATTCACACAGGACAGAAACCATTTAAATGCCTGGAGTGTGGAAAGTGCTTCAATATAACGGTAAGCCTTTATAGACATCAAAGAATTCACTTGGGAGAAAAACCATTTAAATGCTTGGAGTGTGGAAAGTGCTTTACTGAGAGTTCAGGCCTCTATCATCATAAAAAAATCCATACTGGAGAGAAACCCTATAAATGCCTCAAATGTGGAAACAGCTTCAGTGAGAGAAGAGACCTGCATAGACATGAAATGATTCACACAGGAGAAAAACCACATAAATGTCTGGAGTGTGGAAAGAGCTTCAATCGGGAGGGAATCCTTTACAAACATCACAGAATCCACTTAAGACACAAACCATATCAATGCCTGGATTGTGACAAGTCTTTCTCTTCAAAAAGAAGCCTTTATTCACATCAAAAAAATCATTCAGGAGGAAAACCACATAAATAACTGCAGTGAGGACATCTTAATCATGATAATTAATAATGATAACAGAAAAAACAGTGAATGTGACCTTGTAGGCCTTCTAGTCTAACCCCCTATTGAAGCAGGACGCCCAATACCATTCCAGACAAGTGACTGCCCACACTCTAGTTTTTCCAGTTTATTGTTTTTATAACAAAAGTTCCATTTCTATATTCAACTGTGTTGTCTAGGTACAAACATGTTAAAGTATAAAAATCATCACAATTGTAATCATTTCGATATACAAACATATAGCAGATAAGATCAATCATTATTGTAAAAAGTAATATCTTCCATATTGACACCAATTGTGTAACCATCAAAGTATTTACTAATCCACTTTAAATCTTTCTCATTCAATCCACATTTTTCCAACCATCTCACCTCTGTTTTTGTCATCTAACCATTTTTAAAATAAGTCCTATGTCATATAACATTCAGTCTTCTTTTTTAAAAAATTTTAACGTTAACCTATCCATTTCTGCACATTCCAGTATTTTTTAAATTGTATTCTCATCTGTGGGGATTAATCCTAGCTGCTGTTAGAATGACGATGCCTTCCAAGAGGCAAGTTGGTTTCAGAAGGGCTCCTGGGCTCTGGGAAATCTTCCCTCTATTTGTAGCCAATGTATAAAAACTTGTGTTCCAAGAGCAAAAGTGCCAAATCCTCCATTCAATTTCGCTTCTTAGGCAAGGGAAGCTGGGTGAAGATGTGCTCCAGAGAACACTCAGCTCCTTTCCTTGTTCCTTTTAATTAGTGCTTGATAGTTTTTAATCATGTGAGATTGTTGCTTCTAAACCCAGGCACTCCCAGTTCGGTGTGGAACTGAAAAGAGCTGAATTACCTTTGGAAAGTTGGAAACCACTTTTGGACTTTGTGCTTAAGATGGAAAAAAAACCAAAACTTTGATTTTGAGTTTTGCCGACTAGATTTGATGCTACAGAAGGTATGTATTATCTAAAAGTAAACAGTTGAAGTGTTATTATTCTAACTGCATCAAAAGGAGGTAAGGAAATTAATGCTGCTTCCTCTACCCTACCCTTTTCTCTCCCATTATTTTATCTTTACTTGTATTTTTATATTTTTTTATTTTGTGCTATGATAAACTAATAAAAAATTGAAAACAAACAATAAAATGCACTGCTTGTAAAGTTGAACATCAGAAAACATTGATTCCTGATAAAATTCCACACCTGACAAATTTACGTGTTAGTTTTTTCCAGCTGGGTTTGTGTCTTTCTTGAAAGTTGCAGATGTATTCAAAGACACTCAGAATACTCTGCTGTGTAGTTGCTGAAAAAGCAACTTCTCACATACCAAATAAAGAGCCTTAGTCAGGAAGGGAAAAACATGCTGTAAGAACCAGACTCTTTCCTTTTCAACCGATAAGAATGAACTTCTGAAAGTAGGTACTTTAAAAGGAATTCTTTATTGCAAGGGAGTGATCCAGGTACTAGCCAAAGCAAGATCTAAGGTGCCTTCTCTTGCTATCTCTCCAAGAGGTGACAAGTTTCCAGGCATCTGGGCTCTAGTCAGCAGTTGTATATCATGTGGAAGTTATACAGATTCAATACAAGAATTAGGATATTCAGGTTACATCAAAAAAGGATTACTTGTACCAACTCCCCCCCTCCATTGAAGAATGGCAGATACACGGATCTGACACATGCATTCTTAAACTTAAAAAGGTGTAGATGGTCATGTGGAAAGGGGTAAATATGTCATTTTAAATTAGGGATGAAGCTTAAAATTTGAGGCAACAGGATCATGCACTGTTTATCTTGCTGTGAACCAACTTGCTTTCTTAGACTGCCTCAGCCTTCTCTGTTCTAGGCTTTTTTCTCAAGGGTTTTTCTTGCTGGGGGAATACTTGCATGTATAAATCTCCCATATTGACATCAATTGGAAGTATTTACTAATCCACTTTAAATCTTTCTCATGCAATCCACATTTTTCCAACCATAAAACCTCTGTTTTTCTCAACTATTTGTAAAATAACTCCTATGTCATATAATATTCAGAGTCTTCTTTAATTTTTAACGTTAACCTATCCATTTCTGCACATTCGAGTATTTTTTAAATTGTATTCTCATCTGTGGAGGTTTCTTCATTTTTCCAGTATTTTGCGTATACGATCCTAGCTGCTGTTAAAACATGTAGAGTTAGATATGTATTATCTTTATTGTAATTTCCTGGTAGCACGTCCAACAAGAATATCTCAGGTTTTAGGTGTATGTGTTTGTTTTATCATAGCTTCCACCCATATATGGATTTTATTCCAATTTTTTTTTGCTATGGGACATGTCCGTTACATATGATAATATGAACTTGATATTTAGTTACATTTCAACATTTAGCAGATTTATCTTTGTATATATTTGCTATTCTTGCAGGTGAAAAGTTCCATCTATAGAACATTTTATAAAGATTTTCTTTATATGCTGTTGACATTGTAAGCTTGTAGTTCGTATCCCATAATTTCTGCCATTTATTTAATTCTATTCTACAGCCAGAATTCTTAGCCCAAGTTATGGTTTCTTTTACTTGTTCTTCCAAATTAATATTTAATAAATAATTATATATCCTTTTAATTTGAAACAAGTGGCTGTTCAGTCTATTGTCAAAAACATCTAGTGATGAAGCACCCAAAACTTCTGAAGGCAAGCTGATCCACCGGTTAATTGTCATATATGTCAATGTCATATCACCCCTAGTCCTTATCTCTAGACTAGCCATATCCAGTTCCCACAACCGTTCTCCATATGCTTTAGTCTCCAGGCCCTTAATCATCCGAATTGCTCTTCTTTGCACTGTTCCCCAAGTCAACAACTTTTTGTAACGTGACCACCAAAACTGAATGTAGTATTCAGGTGTGGCTTTACTAAGGTTTTATAAAGTGGTGCTAATACTTCATGTGATGTTGATTCTATGCCGCTTTTTATACAAGCAAGTATTCCCCCAGCAAGAAAAACCCACAAATTTGCCTCAAATTTTAAGCTTCTTCCCTAATTTAACATGACATATTTAGCCCTTTCCACATGACCTCTTTTTTAAGTTTAAGGATGCGCGTTTTTCCCTTCTTGATGAAGGCTCTTTATTTCAGAGGTCTCCAACCCTGGCAAGTTTAAGCCTGGTGGACTTCAACTCCCAGAATTCCCCAGCCAGCTGGGGAATTCTGGGAGTTGAAGTCCTCCAGGCTTAAACTTGCCAATGTTGGAGACCCCTGCAGTTTATTTGGTAGGTGAGAAGTTTTTCAGCAACTATACAAGAGAGCATTCTGAGTCTTTGAATACAAGTTTAAGGAGACAGAAATTCTCTCCCCGAGTTTTGAACTTAATGGAGGGGAGGGGCAGGGGGCACCAGAGGGCCATGAGTGGAGGGAAAGAAGGGCGGGGAGGGGGCAGGAGGGTGGGGGGGCCAGAGAAAGAGCGGAGCAGACGCCCCCATACCGCCCTCCGCCCCCTCCCTGCCATAGAGGCGCTTTGCGGGGGAGTCAATCAAGGCTTTGTCTCCCCACCGCGCAACCCTGCGAGGTAGGCCGGCGGAGGGAAGCCTGCACCCATCTGTCAGAGCAGCCCCGCCTTGACCACGGACCTGGTTGGGGTGGGGGGGAGGAACGAACGAACGAAGGACGGACGGACAGACAGCCCGGAAAGAGCCAGGAAGGGGCGGAGCGGGAGGAGCCCAGAGTCCGAGGGGGCGAGGGTGCCGTTCCAGTGAGGTGAGAGGGGCGGAGTCACGCAGCGGACCCAACCAATGGGATGGCGCAAAAGGCGCCGCATGTAAATGTGCCCCGAGCCTGCAAGAGAAAGTTTTCTTCTCGACTTCCGTAATCAGACAAATGTACTGGAGCGACAGGGGAGGACAGGAAGAGGCCCCGCCCCTAGTTGCGCCATCAGACGAGCGACGGAAAGAGATGTGTGGTTAGGCGACGGAAGTGACCGGATGTAGATCTTACGCGCGCGGGGGTGGGTGGGTAGGTGGGGTTGCTAGGCGTCGCGGCCTGAGCGGATCTCCGAACAGGAAAGTCCTGGGAAGGGAGGCAGAGTCCGTCTCGGGCCTACTTCAAAGTGTCTCTGAGAGGACGAGGCTTCGGCCTTCCTCCCCGGTCGGGCAGGCCTGGGCCTCCCCTGCGGGGAAGGGGACGCAGCCTTGACCCGCCTCTCTTTCTCCCCCTCAGGAGGACGGAGGA